CCTAACGATCTCCAACGCCCACGCCGGTCTCCACCAACACCGGCCTCATCGCCTCCACGTCGGTCTCCAACACCGCCCCACCCTCCACAAATGACGCTTTACAAAGACGCGTCTAAGGTCCCGGTGGCAAAGAAGACCCCGAGAAAAGAGTTATTTCTCAAGAAATACTTCTGAAAAGACCTGATGAGCAAATAGCAGTGAAGAAGACAAAAAGTGAAAGATTTTTTATAGATATCAAAACAAGAGTCAAGCGAAGCTTAAGGAGAAGCCGTACTTTTACATACCACGAGATGTCTTTGAGCCGGAAGGTCGATGCTCACAAGAAAAAGATGATTGAACTTCGTAAGCCTTCGCCACTATCAGACTATGACCGCTCCCTCGTGAAGTCATATGATGCAGATAAGAAAAGAAAAAGAGCATCAGGGAAGGATGTCCCATAGCTCGGACAACAGAAGCAACCAATGCAAAATTTTGTTGTTGCTAATGAATATGGTTCCAACATAGAAGTCTATCGACCAGACAACTCTGGAGAAGTGTCGGTTCAAGCCCTTAATGCCTTTTTTGAAGATACTGGATTAACCTTGGATCAATTGACGGGCAAAGCTCCAATCCAGAACCTGGAAGTTGATACCTGGAAGACTTATAAATATGGCAAAAGTCTGTACAACCCTGCGGCTCTGAATGAATTGGGTATGCAAATGTACTTGCTCAATAAGTGGTACATGCAGGCGTGTGGCAGAGGTGAGGAGTGGATCTTTGTCAGATTTAGAGACCATCATTACTTTCGTGGCGATGACATCTTACATATTAGTTTCGAAGAATTGCATCAACTATGCCACATGGATGCTCTGGACAAATTAATCATTAGCTCCTTTTGTTTGTAAGTGATTCTTACTTTTATTTAATAAACTCACTTCCATGCGTACGTGTATATAATTATCCTCACATGTAACTTATATTTATATACAGATTCCAGATGTCAGAGCTCCAAAGAATACAAGACACTAGTGTTGGCTTCATTGATCCTTATATCGTATTTAAAACCGATATTATTCCCAAGGAGCAGTGGGTATCTGAAGCATAGAAGAATATCATGAGGTTCTTTGTGAAGCAGCATGACAAGACAATAATACTTTTCCCGTACAGCTTTGAGTAAGTGTTAATAATAATGTAGTCTACATATTTTATGTAATATCAATACAACTTATATGCATGTACGTGTGTATAAACCAATGTAGGTTTCACTGGATACTCATTGTCATTGAGTTAAACTCAAGTCGGTTAGTAATCTTGGACTCGAAGAGAAAAGAGCGGGCACTATACCAAGATATGATAGACATTATCCAGGAGTAATTTCGATCTCTCGTGCACAACTATTATTGAATAGACTTTGTCATAATTTATTAACGATCGTACATTATTGATCGCACAGGGTTTGAAAAGAGTTTATTCGGCAACACCACAAGAATTGCAAGGCACCACTTAATGTAGTTGAAATACCAGTAAGTTGTACTATATATACTTCCCACGTGTTTAATTACTATATCGTATTTCAATTTACGTGTGAGATGATGAGAATAATCTTCTTCTCGTACAGTGGTGTTTGCGGCAGCAACCAGGTAATAACTTGTGTGGATACTACGTTTGTGAATTTATCACTGCGCACATAAGAAGAACTCCTAAAGATGTCCTCAGAGTACGTATATATCAATTTTTTATTTATTTTTAAATGGATATATATATATATATATGTATTAATACTTTTCCTTTTATTTCAAATGCAAGACTGAATGGTTGAAACAAAGGGTCATGCAAAAAGACCATCTGAAAGCAGTTCAAGAATCAATAGCAGGATTTCTTCTAGAAAAAATGCTAAATTTCAACGGCGAGTTCTATTTTGATCCTAAGGAATAAATGGTGTAAATTAAATGTTTATTGATATCGTTATTTTCGAGAACAAGATTATGAAAGTGTTGTATATATACATATATATATATATATATAATATAGGTTCATACTTTATTCGAATATAATAATGCTCGGGATGAGAATTAGATGTAATTATATGCGTGCGTGTATTTATATTAGCAGCGTAGAATACGTACATAAAAACATATTATATATTAAACAAATACGTGTAACTGAACTAAAAACAAATTAAACAAAAAAAAAGAAAAAGAAAAGGAACCTTTAGTCTCGGTTGGTGTTATCAACCGGGACTAAAGGCCCTTTAGTCCCGGTTGGTAACCCCAACCGGGACTAAAGGTCCTTCTTTAGTCCCGGCTTGATGACCCGGGTAGTCCCGGGATCGTAGTCCCGGCGCGGTAACCGGGACTAAAGGCCGTTACCGTCCGGGATAACAAGTCCATTATGTAGTAGTGGCAGCCGCCCACCTCGGATTGGCCGTCTGCGACACGTGCTCCCTATTCGACGTCGGAGAGCGAGTCTTCCTCTTCAGCTCTTCCGAGACCATCGATAACCAGCCACGCTTCTCCCATGAGATCCCACGAAACCCTTGTGAAACCTGCGTGCTCAGTCTCGCGTCTTGTCTAATCCACCGGCTAGTGCAATCTCAGGGTATTAATCAAGATATCACTGCAATCAAAGAATAATAATAAGCAACTAATACTTACAGGCGCAAAACCTGCAATACGTACTTGTTTATATCTATGGCCAAGTCAGGAAAAAAAACATTTCGGACTTCGGAGTCAAGGGACAAAGGAGGTGCTCTTGGTAATAATTAACCTAGCTACACCCTGCAAGTGTGCAACAAAATCGAAACGTGTGGTGCCCTTGCGCATTTTGCGTGCACCGACGTGTGCAGGCAAACATAGAGTAAACTGTACACTGGCCTCGGCGGGCGTGGATCTTCGAGCTACTAGCTAGTATGGATTACTCCCTTCTGTCTTGAAAAAATATTAATTTTTAGAGCTTGTGTAGACCTGCTTGGCTTCGCTCTATTAGCTGTATTTTCAACTTTGCTAGTCAAATAGAGACAACGTACTCCGCGTAGTTCGGTGGCTAGCTTCTCCGGTGTGAGAACTGCCCGCCTGAGTTCGATCTCTGGGATCGCAACTCTGGTGTCTCACCGGGGCAGGCCCCAAATAAATTTCGTTTGGACCAGTCCACGCGTGATGGCACAATAGAATCGTGCCCACCGTCTATGAAATCTGAAGATTTTGGCGGTCTCAAGAAGGACGCAGTCTTCAGATCTGAATGTAGTTGTACATAGGTTTGTATACCCAGATGAGAGGCACAACTCTACAAAATCTGCTCCAAAAAAGATAGAGTTGAGGACCAACTCTAGATGTCTCGTGAATAACCTAAAGTTGTACCGTAGAAACTCCATCATTTTTATAGAGCTACTCCATATTGGAGTTGGTGAAGCAGTTCTAAACAAGCTCTTAAAGATGTCATTTGGTTCCAATGATATAAATAGTAATTGGTAAAGCAAATTAGACCACATCATAGTACAAATAGTTTATGGGAATGCACTGGTTGCTTGTTTGATTGTGGCAATGGTTTCGCTTCCTATCCCTATGAGAAGAAAATGATGAACTCGAAACCCTAGTGGAAGAAGGGAGCGATGAAACCCTAGTGGGGGGGGAGAGGTTCAACGAAAACCATGGATTCAAGAGCTATGGCATCGTGAGAGAGGCGCGAGGCGTCCGCAGCGCACACTAGAGAGCAGGGTATGTGTCTCTAGTGATGGTTGATTTTTCTCACAATTAGCGAGAGAACGGCCAACGAGATCGAATAGCGTTGAGAGGGGAACGTTATGCATGTTCCATAGGCTCGTAGCAATTTCACATCATGATCCATTACAAATAGGCCTAACCAAACGGTAAACAGTGGAATTAGATCACACCGTTAACTGATAAGGTCCAAAAAGCCTCAATCAAACAACACCTTAGGGCCTGTTTGGATCACATCATGATCATAAATCAATTTTTTGTTAAGGCGATACTATATAAAAGAATATACTAGCATCTATATTTTAATGTTATATCTAACTATACTAATTTTGTATCATAAATGTTTATTATTTTATAATAGACTTTAGTTAAACCTAAAAAATTTGACCTAGGATAACTCCATAAGTTGATTTATTCGGAGACAATGGAATAGCTTGATAGAACTTGTAGAGTGAACAACTCATGTACACATGGGCTTACCACCGGCAGGCTAGAGCTTAGCAAGACAATTTAATTGTTGAGACATATGGTTTGTTTGGCAGCATGAATTGATTCTAATTCTAGCAAAAATAGCTATAATCACTGTCAAACAGGTCAGAAGAGAAATATTTCTCTTGAGAATCATTAGAATCATTTATCGTTTTTATGCCTACCAGGAGAAACGACCGCTAGCTAATTTCGCATGCTGTTTCTTGCCGGCCTCAACCATATTTTTAATTAATCTTTTTAAGTGCAACAAGTTAAAATGAGTTGTATTTAAGTTGTTCTTAGCCCATAAAAACTTATGAACTATTTTGAAGATTTTTTTATTTATATTTTTATGAAAATATACTTTTTGCGAATCAAAATCTAGTATATTTTAACAAAACTAAAATATATAAATGGACATAGCTGAGGCCCACATGATTGCCTATAGTGGAATTTTAACAGAACTAATAATTTCTGCATTTTTTTAGAGGTGCATTTGCAAGCTCTAAATAGAAAGTACGTTGGCCCCTGCCTGGAAGGAGGGAGTACTGGCTTGATTTTTTTGGACTTTGTGTTAAAAATATAAAGGGTACTTCCAAGCATTTTGTCGGCAGAGATGAGAGATCTCGACTCTCCAGTGCCATATGATACACAGTACTCTACGAGGCTACGAGCATCAACGGCTCTGGTGGATAATTATTAGAATTAAATTAAAAAAAACAGGCGCAAGCTAAAATAGCAGTCCCCTTATTCAAATCTATAAACACGATACAGTCGAGGCCCAAATAGTCCCGGTTCTCCTTTGCCTCTCATCTCGCCGCTTGTGGTGAATTGTGATCAGTTGTTGCGCGCGTGCGCAGCGGGGTAGTCGAACGGCAGCGCACGCACGCTGTCGTTGAGCGGGGCGGCGTGGCGGAACCCGTACGCGCGGAGCACCTGGTCGTCCGCGAACGCCAGCGCGCGGCGCATCCCGTCGTCGCAGCTCTCCCTAGAGTACATCGGGTTCCGACCGCCGCTGCAGGGCTGGCAGCCCACGAAGTGCGTGATGAGCGGCCGCCGCCACCCCATCTCCCCGCCACCGGCGGGCCCCGGGACAACGCCACTCACGGCCGCGTTCCGGGCCGCCGCGTACCGCAGGTGCTCCCGCTCCGCGTGCCGCCGCCGGAGCCCCAGCGTGGGCGTGCGCCGCTCGACGGCCTCGTACCGCGCGGCGACGCCGTCGAGGCGGTCCACGACCTCCTTCCAGTAGCCCTGGAAGAAGTACTCCGTCTCGATGAAGGTCTTCTTCCCCAGCCTCGCCCAGCCGTTGAGGAGCAGGTAGACGAGCGCGGACTGGTCGCACGCCACGTCGGAGTCCACGTCGCTGAGCGCGTCCCTGAGCGTCTTCCCCCACCGGGCGTGCTCTTCCGGGTAGGCGGGGCCCATGCGCGCCCACTCGTCCATGAAGTCGAGCGACCACTGGCAGTTGCGGATGAGGAACACGCCGGCGTTGAGCCCCAGCCACGACTTCCTCACGAAGAACTTGTTGGGCCAGCCGTACACGACGAAGTTGCGGCCGGCGTACTTGGCGAGCGGGAGGGAGAAGTCCATGTCGGTGAAGACGGCGTCGGAGTCCACCCACCAGACCCACTCCGCCTCCGGGTGGGCCAGCATGGCGGCGCGCACGATGGGGATCTTGGCCCAGTAGGCCCGCATGGCCGGGTGCAGGAACTCCCTGTTGTAGAGCAGCTCGATCCCGTGGAGGCGGCAGTAGTCGACCTTGTTCTTGAGGAACCGCAGCATCAGGTGGTCGCCCGCGTCGCCGGGGCACGGCTCCGGCTGCGAGCCCGACACCATCACCACGCGCTCCGGCGCGTTCCGGCGGACGAGCCCGCGCGAGCGCAGCCACTCCGCGCGCTTGGCGTCCCACCTGGTGAGGCGCCGGCCCGACGCCACGGCGTACGACAGCTCCGGGTCGTCGTAGAACGTGCGCGGCCCGTCCTCCGGGCCGGGCACGGGGACCGCCAGGGTGACCAGGCCACCGCGCCCGCCGGGGTAGAGGACCGACCCCGTGCCAATGAGCGCGAGCAGTGCCGCCGCGACGCCGGCAGCGAACACGAGCGCCTCGCGCGCGCGGCGCCCGCGGCCCGCCGTCAGCCCCTGCGGCGTCGCCGTGCCGTGGTAAATGCCGGCGTTGCTCCCCGCCGAAGCGGAGACGCGGAGCGAAGCGGCCTTCGACGCGCCGGCCATTCCGTGTTACCTACAGTTCGGCGTTCGCGCGGCGTGCGGCTACCTCGCTTCGGTCGGCTCGTCGCCGATTTGTGCGGTGGTGCAGGCAGCAGGCCGCGCTGCTTGGTGTGGGGACTGCGGACGTGTTTGTAGCCCCGCCTGGGCCCTTATGCTAGGGAGTTGGAGCGATCACGTGAGGCCGAGAAAGCGGGGGAGGAATCCGCGAAACAGGCTGGGGTCATATTATTTTACTTTTTTTTTCAGAGGCTCCTAGCCTCGTACAGTACTTGTGTGTATAATATATGGCACTCGAGAGTCGACATCTCTCATCTCTGCCGACAAAATGCTTGGAAGCACACCCTTATATCTCTATCTACAATTAAAATATTCATAAGAGAATCGTTGACAGACATGCGAAATAAATCATCGCTAGTCCCCGCTCCCTTCGTGCGAAACATATCCTCACACCTCCACAGCTTCCCCCGGTTTCCTCTGCCACGCGCCCCCCTTGCGCGAAGTGCCGCACCGAGTGGGACAGCCGGCCACCGCATCGGCGCGAGCAGGCGGCCTGGACCAGGTGCGGCGAACGACGTGGCTGAGGCGGAGGCGGTTGCCGGGGACCGCCGGTTTCTCAGGCGCTCGCTGGGGCGCGGTGCAGCCAGGCCGGATCCGGTCGGCGCTCAGTCGGAGACGGCATAGCTGAGGCGGAGAAGGTTGGCCAGGAAGGGAAGAAGGCCAGCGGCGGCGGCGGCATTCCTTGCTGTGGTGCGGCGACCGGTCAGCACCTGCTCGAAAGCTAGCTTCGACCATGGCTCATGATGCCGGCGACAACGGCGTTGAACTCCCGGAGCCCGCGACGAAGAAGTCACCCGCCGAGGAGGAAGCCGAGAAGAGGTCAGTCCCAGTTCGCCCCCTCGTGATTCCTAAGCATACATGGTCCAAATCCGGTTCTAGATTTTTTGCAATTCAGGCATTCCATTCGTTTGTTGAACTGCTGCAGAGGGGACAGTCCGACCAATGCTGTAAGGAAAATGGACCCTAGGCCCATTTACTTTGGATTTTGGTGCTTGATGACCAACACAACCAAATTGGACTAATGAATTTGCAAGTGATTGTTTTGTAGTTCAATAGGATGCAAGACGTGACTTGGATAAAGGCGACGTGATGATCCGATGATCAACGCCTCAAGCAAGACCTTAGGAGCACAAGAGAAGACCCAAGATATCAAGCAAAGTCCAAGCATGAAGATAGGAACCAAGCTGCACACAAGATCGCGAAGAAACGAGCTCACAGCAGCGACCGGACGCTGACGAAAAGCAACCGGATGCTCCGATCAGAGGCTCGGCAACAGTAGCAGCGACCGGACGCTGGACCAGACGCTAGCGGCAAACCGACCGGACGCAGGACAGCAGCATCCGATCGAGTACAGAGAGGTTCCAGAGCAGCGAACTTTCAACCAGACGCGTCCGGTGGCAAGTGACCGGACGCTGGCAGCTTCCGATCAGTTGTTCGCGGCTCCAACGGTCGGGACGACCAGACGCGTCCGATTAGGACGACTCCAGCGTCCGATCAGTAGCAGAAAAGCGGGATTTCGTCCCCAACGACTAGTTTCTCAGTGAGGCTTATAAATAGACCCCACAACCGGCCAAATGAGAGGTGTGGAGCTGAGGAAACATATCAAGGGTGTTGATACACCATTCTAGTGATCTCCATTTGCACAGTGTTTAGTGATTCATTAGGTGATTAGCGTAGGTGCTTTGTGAAGTGCTTAGGTTGATTAGACCACCGCTTATGCGCTTACTCTAGGTTTAGGCCTAGTGTTTAGTGAGGTTTGCATACCTCTTACCACTCGGTGCTTGCGCGCATCATTGTTGTACATCGGAGGGGCTTGTATATCATATGGTAGGCTTGCTCGGTTTCATTCTTAACCCTTGGAGCAAACCTACATGGTTTAAAATTAGGAGCACGGCACATAGCTTGTCCTTCAATTGTTCATCTAATATGTGCCAAAGTCCAAATTGTAGATAATTTCTTCCGAATATCGTCTTCGAAAATGACCCTCACATTCATGTGATGTCATCTTTCAAGTAGTATTTTTTTATTCTAAAATCAATGTGCATGTTTTCTACAAGTATTCCATACTTGTGTGCACAAATTTAGGGGGAGGTTACTCTATAAGTTGGATGCCTTGAGACTAACACCTTTTTCAAGCTTATCATGTGTGCAGTAGTCTCATTGCAAGGAAAATGGACTCCCCGGAGTTAAGCATCATACTTCAAATATCCACCACCTATTGCAAGTGGTAGGAATCAAATTGGTTTCCACATATGGTATTTCTAAACCGATATCATCATGTTGATTTCATTTTGATATTTATATGCTTTCTCCATGCATTATATAGATTAAATTCCTTTGAGCAAAAATTTGCCAATTATGCATATGCTCTGTCTTCTACCGTATGTATGCATATATTTAGGGGGAACTTAATCTATATAATGTGAGAGTCAAATTTTGTGACCTATTCCACTCTACATACAAAGGATCACAAAGTTTGACCCTCCATTGTGCTACTAATGTCTTCCTTTTTGGTGTTTGATTCCAAAAGGGGAGAATTTAGAGGACCAAAAGTAAGCATTAATTTATAGAAATGGTCCGAGAAAGGGAGGATAGTGGATTATGGATTAGCCTATGTAATGGGGAGAATTTGTAGGTAGCAAGGCTTAAATCCATAATACCACATGGGGACATTTGCAAGGGCAAGATAAGTTTTTATATAGTCTTACAAGTAGTATCTTTTAGCATCATATAATCTTGCCTCTTGCATTGCATCCTAGCAAGTAGGTAGTTTTTAAATTTCAAAATTTTATTATTTACTTGCTTTGGTCGTGTTATCATCAATCACCAAAAAGGGGGAGATTGTAAGGAAAATGGACCCTAGGCCCATTTACTTTGGATTTTGGTGCTTGATGACCAACACAACCAAATTGGACTAATGAATTTGTAAGTGATTGCTTTATAGTTCAATAGGATGCAAGACGTGACTTGGACAAAGGCGACGTGATGATCCGATGATCAACACCTCAAGCAAGACCTTAGGAGCATAAGAGAAGACCTAAGATATCAAGTAAAGTCCAAGCATGAAGATAGGAACCAAGCCGCACGCAAGATCGCGAAGAAACGAGCTCACAGCAGCGACCGGACGCTGGACCGGACGCTGACGAAAAGCGACCGGACGCTGGCAGCAAACCAACCGGACGTAGGACAGCAGCGTCCGATCGAGTATAGAGAGGTTCCAGAGCGGTGAACTTTCGACCGGACGCGTCTGGTGGCAAGTGACCGGACGCTGGCAGCTTTCGATCAGTTGTTCGCGGCTCCAACGGTCGGGGTGACCGGACGCGTCCGATTAGGACGACTCCAGCGTCCGATCAGTAGCACAAAAGCGGGATTTCGTCCCCAACGGCTAGTTTCTCAGTGGGGCTTATAAATAGACCCCACAACAGGCCAAATGAGAGGTATAGAGCTGAGGAAACATACCAAGGGTGTTGATACATCATTCTAGTGATCTCCATTTGCACAGTGCTTAGTGATTCATTAGGTGATTAGCGTAGGTGCTTTGTGAAGTGCTTAGGTTGATTAGACCACCGCTTATGCGCTTGCTCTAGGTTTAGGTCTAGTGTTTAGTGAGGTTTGCATACCTCTTACCACTCGGTGCTTGCGTGCACCATTGCTGTACATCGGAGGGGCTTGTAGTCTTACGAGATCACACCAACCGTGTTTGTGGTGTGGCCGCCACCGTGTACCGGAGAAAACAAGGCCCGCGGCGTTTCGGCCGGAAGCTTGACAGTGAAGACGACGGGGAGCATCCGGGAGAGGCTTGCCAGAAGGCACGTCGGAGACCCACTTACGCGTGGGGAAGGCCCGAGGCTATCCACGGAGTTATCCGTCCGGTAGCTTGGCCCTTGCGAGGGGCTCCAACGAGGACTAGGGGGAAGCTTGCGTGCTTCTCCATACCTTGGTAAAAATACCGGAGTCGTCGATGGGAGTTTGCATATCTCTACCTTACTCTTTAGCTTCCGCATTTACATTGATTGCTTTACTCCTTTTTATGGTAGAGATAGCAATACACTAGCAAAACCGTAGTTGCACAATTAGATAGTTTATCTTTTGCATAGGTTTTGCTAAGGTTAGAAAAAGGGGCCATAGTATAGAAGTAGAATTTTAAGTTGCCTAATTCACCCCCCTTTTAGGCGTCACGGTCTCCTTCAAACGCGACTTCTTTTACCGATGGGGACAGTCCGCTCAACGTTTGCGGCTCGCCGGTCAGCAGGGCGCCGCGTCAGCTCCCCCTCGACCCCCTCCCAGGCATGGCCGCGAACGCATGGCATCCCGAGGGTCGAGGCCCTAGCCGTAGCTGCTGTCGGCGTGCCGCTCGCCGCAGCCCCTAGCCTTGCCGCGCGCCCGTGCCGTATCGGTCGCCGTAGCCCGCAGGCCGCCGCAGCGGCGCGCAGCTCGCAGGTTGTAGCCATGGAAGAGGAGGATTTGGGGTGGGGGATAGTTGCGGAGAGCAGACAAGAGACGCAGCAGCAAGTGGCGCTGGGCACGGGCGTCACCGGGGTGTTCCTGACGCCGGCAGCCAACAGCTACATGCTGAAGCAGAGGGAACTGATGCCGAGTACTTTTTCTGCACGAGCCATGAAGGGATCCGGTTCAGGAACAACCGGATTTGGTCCGCCCGCTCCATGTCTGGCACCGTGGTTGAAGCGGTGGTGAGTCGGCCTCTTCCCTCCATTTGGCTCATTGTATGCTATATAAAACCTCTATGATCTGGCTTGCTCTATAAGGATGTAGGACCAGATATAAATTAGAATTATCATATATATCCCAGTTTATCTATCCTAGATATATAAATCTTATTGTTAGAAATTGTGTAAAGTGCCTCTCTTTTTTGTTCGATGCGATTGTGCACCTCCATGCACTGCTGCCAGACACCCTGTGTCCTCAATAGAAGTTTTGCCACCTGTGTTGAAGTAGTTCTGAAGTCATACTATTTTTGCTAGAATTCAGTTATTGTTACTGGTGCTACTGCTGCATAGCAATTTTGCTGCACAAAGCTAGTGAGGAAGGATAGAAGACTCTGAACAATTATGCATCCAATGGACCGATTCTGCAAAGTATAACAAAATGTCGGTTCTGGAGTTTGTTTTCTACTGGTGTTGTTGTTGCCTTCCTAGAAATGTTGATTATCAACCTTTTAATGATGGCAATAATTGTTATATTTTAACAGGCCATCCTGTTATAAGTTTTGTTACATTTTTTACATGGCCATCAGTAAACATAGTTAAGGGTTGTACAAAAGCACCATGGAGCATGACACTTTTCATTATGTTGCTGAAGTTCTTATTGAGGGTATTAAGGTTTTCCAATTTATTGGCAGGAGGTGTACCAGAGAACAGAAGGGCCCTTGGAGCCCTGGCCAATTGCCGCAGTCCACCGCGATGACCCCCATCGAAGCACACGCGGAGGAACGCCCTCCAGGACCAAGGTGAGGCACATGTCATTTCTGGGAATTCTATTCTGTTAGATGAAAACATGCTATTAGATGAAACTTTCTCTTATTGCCTCTTGCTAATCTCTACAACTAAAATATTCATAAGAGAATCGTTGACAGACGTGCGAAATAAATCATCGCTCACCCTCGCTCCCTTCGTGCGAAACAAAACCTTGACCGCTCGTTCGCTCGCTCGCTCGAATGACCGCCTAGCTTCGCAGGCTCCCTCGCCGTCTCGCACGCGAGACCGCCCGGCGCTCCCCTCGGCCTGTCGCTCGCTCCCGTGTCATCCAGCAGAAAAGGAGAGCCCTCAATCATAACAATCCCCAATCCCATTCCGCGCACTCCAGAACCTTCCTTCCCGTGCCGCAATATCTCCTCTCCTCCGGTAGCTAGAGGTTGCGCCGCCATCGCCCGCCGGCCTCGCTCCCCGCGCGCCGCCGTTCTCCGCGCTTGCCCTCGCACCCGCGCCGTCGCCACTCCACTCCGCGCGCTTGGCGTCCTACCCGGTGAGGCGCCGGCCCGACGCCACGGCGTACGACAGCTCCGGGTCGTCGTAGAACGTGCGCGGCCCGTCCTCCCGGCCGGGCACGCGGACCGCCAGGGTGACCAGGCCACCGCGCCCGCCGGGGTCGAGGACCGACGCCATGCCAACGAGCGCGAGCAGTGCCGCCGCGACGCCGGCCACGAACACGAGCGCGTCGCGCGCGCGGCGCCCGCGGCCCGCCGTCAGCCCCTGCGGCGTCGCGGTGCCGTGGTGCATGCCGGCGTTGCTCCCCACCGAAGCGGAGACGCGGAGCGAAGCGGCCTCCGACGCGCCGGCCATTCCGTGTTACCTACCGTTCGGCGTTCGCGCGGCGTGCGGCTAGCTCGCTTCGGTCGGCTCGTCGCCGATTTGTGCGGTAGTGCAGGCAGCAGGCCGCGCTTGGTGTGGGGGACTGCGGACGTGTTTGTAGCCCCGCTTGGGCCCTTATGCTAGGGAGTTGGAGCGATCACGTGAGGCCGAGAAAGCGGGGGAGGAATCCGCGAAACAGGCTGGGGTCATATTATTTTCCTTTTTTTTTCAGAGGCTCGTAGCCTCGTACAGTACTTGTGTGTATAATATATGGCACTCGAGAGAGTCGAGATCTCTCTTCTCAGCCGACAAAATGCTTGGAAGCACACCCTTTATATTTAACACAAAAGTCCAAACGGTAAATTCTCAAGATTGGTCAAATCAAGCCAGCAATCCAGTTTGGATGTATTTAGAGCTTGCAAATGCACCTCTCAAAAATGCAGAAATTATTAGTTTGGTTAAAATTCCACAGTATATAGATTTATACAACCACAAGTCAAGTACACCCCTCTAGTTTGCTCTATCTTTACTGTACCAATTACTATAGGCAATCATGTAGGCCTCAGCTATGTACTTTCTAGCTAACCCATAAAGAAAAGACGCCATTAAACAATAGTAACTTTTATAGCGGTATTTGGTTATTTGCGAATAGTATTGGTATCTCCCCAACTTCCGGAACGAGTGGAATGACTCTTTCATCAGCCTGCTCGCTTGATGGTGTCAGCCAGAGCTTATCAGTTATGGTACAGTATTTTTTTCTTATAACAAATCAACACCAGACATATTTATCAGTTCAGAAACGGGCTGCATGGTGGGACAGATAGTGTAGTTCGAAGCAGTAGATATAAAGTGAAAACAGGGAAACACAGGCTAATTATGGTGGATATGTCTCATTGGCTAGCGTGCCTCGCTCCTCACGACCCGGGACCGCTGCTGGGGCGACAAGACCTACCTCGGGATCGACTACTACTTCCTGGGCTACTTCGCGGAGATCGTCGGCAAGCTCGACGTCGTCGCGGCGCGGTACGAGGCCGCGGAGCGGAAGGGCGACCCAGCCCTCCGACGCAGGCACGCGGAGCGGGAACACCTGCGGTACGCGGCGGCGCGGAACGCCGCCGTCAGGGCCGTTGTCCCGGGCCCCGACGGCGGCGGGCAGTCCGGGTGGCGCCGCCCGTTCGTCGCGCACTGCACCGGGTGCAACCCTTGCGGCAGCAAGCGGAACGCGATCTACACGAGGGAGATCTGTGAGGACGGGATGCGCCGCGAGCTCGGGTTCGCCGACGACCAGGTGCTCCGCGCGTACGGCTTCCACCACGCCACACCACTCAACGACAGCGTGCGCCCGCCGCCGTTCAACTACCCCGCCGCGCGCGCGCAACCGTTGACGGCGAGCGGCGAGATGGAACTAGCTGCGGATTTGTACGCGAAAGTATAAAGGAATTGGGCCTTTAGTTGTATCACGTTGATAATTGATACTTATAAAACCTTTTTAGTTCGATCGACGAAAGCTAAAGAACAATACTACAATAGGGTGTTTTTATCAACATCGCTCCAGGAGCCTTTTTTCAGTCTGTTACATACTTCCATAATCCATCATTGGCACTTGATTTGAGCTCTCTCCGTTTTTCTAGCGTCGGAGTGACGAGCTTTGAGAAAAGTCACCCGGCAGGGCTTCACTTCACTAGTGAAGTTATTTTTTTTTTGTTTCAGCTTCACGAACAGTTCCACCGGTAGAGCTGAAGCGGTTTTGTTAAACCGTTTGGCAAAATGGTTTCTCTGTGAGAGCATTTTTTAGGGGCCACGAGGAGGAGCCGGGAGAAGCCACTTTTTTTTTGCTCCATCCCATCCCGAATTATTGTGAGAGCATGTTTTTAGGGGCTTCACCAGTGAAGCTATTTCACTTTACCCTGTTTGGCAGAAAACGGCTTCAAACGGCTCCTGAAGCTGGTGGAGAAGCCCTGCCAAACGGGGCCTAAGTGTTGGAATGTGATCGGTTTGGCTAATCCTGAACTTAATTATGAGATTAATTAAGTATTAAGTTTTGCGTCCACATGTCATTTATTTTGAACTAAATAAGATCTGCCGTGATCGGCAGCGACCCTTAGATATTCTAGGGTTCGGCCCCCTAGCCCACAGCGCATCTATAAATAAGAGGAGACACCCCTAGCGGCTCCATCCACGTGAAACAAATTACACAACCGGTCAATTAGGCGCTGAAGGGTCTAGGAAGGTCGTCTCCCAAGTCCATCTTGTCCAGGTACATCTCGGCGGCGTCCAGAAGGCCACCGCTACCTGGCTTCTCACGTTCTTCACCAACAGAGGACATTCAAGTCCTCAGGCGGTGAACTCAAATCATCTGCTACATCTACGACCTCCATCGCGTTGCATCTCCAAAGACATAGATGGCGTCCACAGGCTCTGGTTAGTATCTAAGATTAGTTTCCGCATTAAGATGAGTTAGTGATCATGTTTAGGCTAAGATAAGATCCTGTTTATGCTAAGTTCTAATTTAACAATCGATATCAAGAGCTTGCTTAGACCTAACATGATCCTAGGCCAGAGTCAGTTTTATTTTTTATGCCTCTGTTATATATTAGATTAGTTTCGGCTAAGTCAGATTAGATGCAATTAAGTTTAAATTAAGATCGAACTTATATGTTACATGCATGTTTAGCCTCTGTGATATATATTTATGCTATGTAAGTGCCGAATTAGATTTATTTTAAGTTGTCAGTATGAGATTAGATTTTTATTAGATCCGATCTGAGTTTATGTTCATGATTAGACTAAGCAATTAGGATTAGGGTTTTACTGATTACCGCTATTAGCATCGGATTAAGCAATCAGTGATATTTTTAGATCTTGATTAAGCACTGAGAAGGAGGTGATTTGGGCAAAACCTGATTAAAATCCCAAAGATCCCTAATTTTTCCCCAAAATCAAGAACTCTAACCCTAAGATTAAGCATCAGAGATTGAGATTGAGATTGAGATTGCACCTGTGCGGTTCGTACCCGGTTTCCAGATCGGGTCGCCGCTCTGGGATTAGAGTGGCTCGTACCGGGTTGTAGGACGGGTCGCCGCTGTCGTGCCACACCAAGCCGCGCATGAGAGTGGCTTGTACCCGGCGTCCTCAGGCCGGGTCGCCACCACGGTGCCCTGAGATGAGAGCGCTGCCACGGGCCTCAGGGGCGCTCAGCCATGGCTACGCGTGCGCCCATGGGGCCGCCGCCGCGCGGATGAAGGCGGGGGCCGCCACTGCCGTGCGCGTGCCCTCAGGGGCAGGCCACCGCCGCCGCCGCACCATTAGTTGCGGCCTGTGAGGCGTGCCGCCACCTGCTGCTGGTTCTTCTGCTCCAGCATCAGGGCACCCAGGGCCGAGCTCGATGGAGCCGCGCGCGGCTCTGCCGCACACGAGCACCGGCGAGCCGAGCGCGGTGGTGCCTCACCATCACATACATCTCCCTCTCTGTCTGTCGTGTTCGTGAGAAGAAGCAGATGAGGAGAGTGAGCAGTGACGAGTGAGGCTATCTCCAACAATAACACCCAAAATACAAGACCCATTCGTCCTTTGGGTAGCGCTACAGGCAAAAGATTCAATACCTATTTGGCATCTTCTCCAACAACAAGATCCAAAAGAGAGTCTTTTCTGTAAATGGGTTTCCAAGAGAGAGAATGCCCATATTTGGGTTGTGCCTCTCGGGCAACCCAAAATTGGTCTCTCGTATAGGTACTCTGTTGGAGGCTGATTTTGGGTCTCTTGCTACCCATTTTTGGTTTAGGTGCCCATATGAGTTCCTTATTGGAGACAGTCTGACTGAGGTGATTTTAGGGTTTACATCTTATTTATATGAGCGTAAGATCATCTGTGGCCGTTGGATTCACTTGAACGGCTAAGATTGCTCAGCGATTAGGTTGTCCTGAGCTGGCTGTTGCTGGGCTCAAAGGGGAGGCGCCATGGGCCATAGCTAGGCTGCATGTGCCACAAGTGGCTTTGGGCCTCTGCTGGGCTGCTTTGCCTTTTAAGGCTAAATTGAGTTTTTTTTCATAATATAAGTTTAGTTACTATTTATTCTCAGCTCAGATTAAGTATTTCAATTAAGTTGAGTCGATTAATGTTAAATTTCCATTATTTTTGAGTTGAGTTTATGCTCATATAAATTTGCTCACTGATTTTTATGAGTTCCGCGGTGTGGCTACTGCACTAAGGAGCAGAAAAAAAAAGAGTAATTGGATATTAAATTTATAGCCGCGTATTTATACTCATGAGTTTAGCTAAACCTTAGTCATCCATTGACTTAAATAAATGAGATCATCTTAGCCACTAAGTTTTTCTAAGTGGTTATTTATTGGGTTTTTAAGGGGAGAGCGACCTGACATGGTACTTTTGAACTACTGTTGGTCCTACCCTTTAAAAGTCAAACTAAGTTTTAATTTTAGAATATAAGTTTGACCAGCTACTTAATATAAGCACATTATTTTTTAAGTGCTTTTATTAAGTTTAAAGTTATAATGGCCTCATTATGTTTTGTTTTTTAGCTTTAGTGTCAGCAACTTAATTATTTCTTTAAGTATTATAAGTTTAATGGCCTCATAACGATGTATATTCCCACTTCATATATAGCTTAAGTATCCATTTGCTTTAGCAATCTTTAAGTTAATATAAGTGTGTTTTGGGAATATGTTGCTGAGAATATTTAAAGTTTAAGAATTGTTTTTAGTGCAATTTACTCAGTTAACTTTTATGCACTATTTAAATAAGTTTTAAGTCTGAGTTTCATTTTTTAGTTCCAGCATTAAAATTTATGCTTTTATGAGCATTTTATATTTTTAGTGATGCCCTAAGATTAAATTTTGCATGAATTTGCATTCAATAATAAGTTTTTTATATACATTATCCACCACTGTATAGTAAGATGGTCTCTAGTTGAATGAGATTACTCATAATTAATTTCTGACCAATGCTGACTTTAATTATGAGTTATTAAGATG